AGAATAATAGCACAATGTATTCTCTGGACATTGGAATGAAGTCACTGGTCTGTTGATTCTGTCAACCTGGAAAGGAAAGGAGATGAGTGTGGAGTGTATGAGTTGGTTCTCCTTCGTTGCATAAGTCTTACTGTGTTCTTGCACACCTCAGCATTCTTTGATTTTTCTCAAGATATGGTCTTGTTTCATTTTCAGTGTTTCTCTTGAGTAACATATATTTTATATACTGTAGAGAATTCTACTCATTGATCCTTATGTTCTGTACAAAATCTTTATTTTGTACATACAGCAAGTATTTTAATCTTGATTTATTTATTCCCTATGGTTTTCATAGACTTCAGTTTCTCTTTCTAATTCTGATGATTACTTGGTTCCTCCAGGAAACTCTTTTCTCCATATCTAAAATTTATTTCAGTGTAAATTTCTAAAGCATTAGAGTAACATGTGCGTAAGAAAGAAGAGTATACAATGTAGATCTCTAGATGCATACCTAATCCTCCCTGAACATAAATAAAACATATTGTGATTACTTTCAGGTATGTTTAACACAAGCTGCACCATGAATCACTATTCTGTTTGCATGTGGCACCGTAGAAGGTTGCCCTTCTTTCCTGAGATCTGTTTGTCATTCTGCTAAATGCAGGTTTTAACAAAACTTGTAACCTGAATGTGTTTTATGTAAAGTATGCAAGCTACTGCCTTGCTCATAAGGTGCTGAATATTGTATTTTTTATAAACCTTCTTTACTTTCATTTTTATTGGTACATTTTAGATATACCTAGTCATAACACTCATCTTGGGAATTCATACCTATACATGGTATATCTTGCTTCTTATTTTTCTTCTACTCGCCTCCCTTCACTTGAAACCCTCTCTCTTCATTTATAAAACTGTTTCCTTTCTGTCCTTTTATTCTTTTTTCTTGTCCTTCTTTCCTTTTTCCCACCCCTCCATTGTTCCCCTACTCAATTTAAACATTTTCTTCAGATTCCTCAAAAGCAAAAACTACAGCATCCATTTGACCCAGCTGGTCCCTTTCTTGGTCTCTCCCTAAAGCAATTCACAGTGTCACACCACAGTGACATATATATACACTCACGCGTATATTCACAGAGTTTGTAATAAACAAATGTTAAAAACAGCCCAAATGTCCATCAACTGTTGAATGGATAAAGAAGATTTTTTTTAATATATACTATGGTGTACTACCGTGTCATAAAGAAGGATAAGCTTGAGACATTTTTAGCTAGATAGATGGACCTTAAAATCACAGTTTTAAGTGAAATACATTGGCTACACGTGTAAATATTATAGGATTTCTCTGGTATCAAACACCAAAGGTGTAAATACAGATCAAAATACATATACTTTATTTAATGTGCCATTAGTTTTTTTTTCCTAAAAAAATTCAGATTTCAAAATGCTGCCTGTAAAGTGCCAGGGATATAGCTCAGTGGTACAGTGCCTGCCTGGCAAGCACAAGGTCATGAGTTCAATTCCTGGTACCAAGAAAAAAAAAAAAGAAAACACAAAATGGTACCTACATACAATCCAAGAAAGAATAACTTAATTCTATGTGTGTAATCAGAGTTGATATAATCTATGATCTATCATAGCCCTTCAGGTATTTTTCTACACCCTCTCTTTGGGAATGGAGATTTGCGGGCTGCATCTATGAGCTCTGCATTAGAGACAGTGCACAAATTCAATTTCTGTGACCCTGCCAGTCAACCAGTGCTACTATTCTGCTCTTGCTGTAGCAGACAGAAGCAAACTAGAATCAGAACTGTGTGTAAAACTGTGTGCATAAACGTGGATTTGGTGACAGATACATGGAGTTTCTGTTTGAAGGAACAACCTTGGTTTAGTTTTACAAGAGCAGTTCAAGATCTCAGGGTATAAGTCTTAACCTTCTTTCAGGAAATGTGTATGTAATTACATAGGAGGCAGTGACCATGGAGGATGTAACTGTGAACTTCACCAAGGAGGAGTGGGCTGTGCTGAATCCATCCCAAAAGAAGCTCTACCGAGATGTGATGTGGGAAACATACAGGAATATAAATGCTATAGGTAAGTATGACACCACGTTGATTCTTTCTGGTGGTTACAGATTCATTAAATATAATGTATAAACATTTTGTGCAATGTCTCAGGCCTGTTTATATTATATCGTGAATCTAACTGATATCTGGAAATTATAATGATATGGTGACTTTTTGTATTTCTGTGGCTATAATTCAGGAAGGAAGTGGGACAACAAGACAATGGAAGAAGAATACAAAAATTGCTCAACAAACATAAGGTAATTTGCATTCATGAGGAAGATCACTATTTCTCAAAAGTCAGTCTCTGAGCAGAAATATTACAGAGAAACTCTACAAATCAGGCCATACTAAATTTATTTAGTTTCACAAAAATTTTCTCAGTGTGCACAAAGTTGATTTTGTATAATTTGACAATTGAATATAGTAATATTCCAATATAGGAAAATAAGATAGTAGTGACATTATGCAACAAGAGACACTATCTCATACATTGATATAAAAAATTCCTTCATAGGGGCTGGGGATTTAGCTCAGCGGCACAGCGCCTGCCTGGCAAGTGCAAGGTCATGAGTTCGATTTCCAGTACCAGAAAACAAAACAAAAAAAAAAAAAAAAACATTCCTTCATGATCAACATCATAAAAATGTATGAAATTGCATGTAGGTATTGTATATAGGCATGAATGCATCTTAAATTTGGCAGGAACTCATCTTCAAGTTATCTGTTTATAAATATCTATAAATAGGAGATACACATTATCTAAAAAATTGCTAACCTGGAAGCAACATTCAAACTCCACATGAATACTAGTGTATTACTAGATATACTCCTCCAGAAAATTCTGTGCATTCATGTTTTAAAATTTTAAGCATGCATCATTACATTATGGATTCATATAGTATTGATTCAAATATAAAACAGAACCGGTTTTATAGTCTATGTACAGATGCCTCAAACAGTAAAAGTCAGTGTTCGTATTTCTTCCAGGCAAAACTTCCTATGTATATTCTGAAACAATTTAAAAGTCTCATATCTTAATGATATATATGTACTTATGGTCAAAGCGTAGTATGCATGGGCATTCACAATAGCTAAGTTCTGGAAATAATTCACACTAACTAAGCTCTTGTAACAGCCTAGTTGTCAATCACTGTTTACGTGGAAAAGGAGAATGTGGCATAGTGTCAACATGTTGGTGCCTTCTTATGCTGCCAGCACTCTGGTAAGCTGAGCCAGCAGGGTGACAGCATGAAGTGCACTCTGACCAAATGAATGATCATTGAGAATCTCTCTCAAAAGAAGAAATGAAAACCTAGAAATATATTTTATTGTTCATAACCTTGTTTAAGTCTCAGAACGGAAAAAAATGTGCTATACGTATTCAGCCAAAAAAGACTAAGAATGTCATATCTTCTAGCAAAGAAAAAAAGTTGCGACTCTACCTCAAAGTGTTACATGAGATAAGTCAGACACAGAACGTGAATTATCAAATGTTTTTAATGAGATATATTAAATATAAATTGTGAGTTAAATTAAGAAGTGTTAGAAGTGAAGAGTGACAGGGAAATATGTCAAAATGATAAAGATATATATGTAACAAGTACTTAAATGAAACTTGACCTTACGTATTACAAACATATACCAATTTAAAATTCAGAAATGAATACGATCATTTGATAAATGCTCATTTTGGAGGCATCCTCCAGTGCTTTCAGGCTATTCATTCTGAAAATTTGTTAGCAGGCATCAAGCCAGAATTTGTTCTGGTAAATTATTGAAATGAGGGCTGGGGATTTAGCTCAGCGGCAAAAGCGCCTGCCTGGCAAGCGCAAGGTCGTGAGTTCGGTTCCCGGTACCAGAGAAAAACAAAAAACAAAACAAAACAAAACAAAAAAAATTATTGAAATGAGACCTTTTTATTGTGATTGATATTTTGTTGCTTTACAGAACTGAAGAGGGAACAAAGTGCTATCAATATAAAATGTGCAATCAAAATGAAAATATAATCCTTCAGACTTCAGGTGCTAATGGGGACATGCAACAAGGTGCTCTTGAGACAGCCGGAAGTCTTTGTAGTGAGGCCCTGATTGGTCATTTATCATTAAATGAGCTCATTTTGCCTCACACTGCAGAGAAGCCACATGAACATTTGGCATTTGATGACAAGCTGAATCAATGGAATGAACATGGAAAAACCTGCAATGATTTCCAGCTTTTTCAGAAACATGCAAGGACAGAGAGTGGAGAGAAACCCTATGAGCCTGAGCAATGTGGGAAAATGTCCTCTGAACTGAGTGATAGAACACACCCTGGAGAGAAGACCATTGTTGGTCAGAAAAGAGTGAAAGCCTCCAGCACCCGCAGTGGTTTTCAAGTTCATGAAAGAATTCACGCTGGGAAGAAACCATATGTATGCAAGCAATATGGAAAAACCTTCAACACCCAACCTGGTAAAACTGTGGAAAGGATTCACATGCAGGAGAAACCCTATGCCTGTAAGCAGTGTGGAAAAGCATTCCGTACACACAGTTGCTGCCAGAGACATGAAAGAAGTCACACTGGGGTGAAACCCTATGTAGGTAAGCACAGTGGGAAGTTATTCAGCAGACACACTCAATGTCAAAGGCATGAAAGGACTCACAAAGGGGAGAAACCTTATGTATGTAAACTATGTGGGAAAGCTTTCAGCAGACACCGTTATTGTCA